GTTTGGGAAGGATCCTATGGAGAGTATTCAGTAATATTTTGTTTCAACAAAAATTATTCAAAATATACTTAAACCAGATTCGACAACGATATGACTTACCTAAGATACCATTCATCCTTTCGAATGAGTAGCACCAAAAGGAATATAGTGGTCCATAGTCTTGACAACATTCGACAATATGAAGAGATAAGTGAATGTTAGGAGTAATTACCTCTGGACTATAATTCTCTTTAACTAGTTTAGCAACTTGTAATAATCAGAACTGAATTTCATCCAATGTATTATTATTAATAATACGTACTATTAATAAGAAACAAGCCCTTACAAGATTAGACAAAACTCTTTGATCTCTCTCATCCAAAAGATCCCACATCAATAGAGTTGCATATACCATGATGAAAAATTTTCATTGATCGACCATAAAACTGGAAAATCCTTCAACAGTTGCCATTTTGAATGGAATCCTTCCAAGATCAGCTGGTACCTTAACATTTTTTGCTCGTTTCTCCATCAATTTAAGATCAGATTTGGAAATTTTTCCGTCTTCGATCCACAACCGCTTTACAATCCAGTGAGCGATTCCCAAGAATAGATAGTGCATTGGATCTATAACCAGATGTCTAATTGGATTATGATAGAGCAGGCGAAACATTTCAGACCACCTTACATGAGTCTGACTGACGTGTTGCTTTCTATCATCTTTTGTTTATTATTTCTTCCAAATGAGAGCATTACGACAATGCTCTATTGGGTCTTTTGCTTTAAACCAATCAGCCATGTCATCGAACCCTCCAAAATTTAGCTTCTGACCATTTTTATTACTTGCTCTTTTATGACACTGATGACATCTGACTAATGCTGATACATGACCACATAACTTTCTTGAGACCGGAATATCATTGCTGCAACAAATTACAGCTATTCTGATATTTCTACCAGTGGGGTAATTATTAGTAACCGGTAAGTAAACTCTATTCCAAAATTCCAGTAATTCATCTACTATTTGATGCGAGAAAATGGTTAATCTTATGCAATTTTACTTCATTTGGTCCTGGTAAGAGGCCAAGAGTCAACATATTCTCCTTTTTAAATCGAACATCCTGAGAAAGATTACAAATTACGCCATATATCGCGTCACTGTTATAAGAAACTGAATCAAAGGGTTGAAACCAATCTAAGTTTATCATAATGCCTAAATGCAAATCGGCGGTTTCAGGTATAAAAAATCGAGATTGTTCTGAATTATCTGAATTATCGAGATGTGATGGGAAAGTCTTTCAGATTTTACCATCATAGATATCGGTTATAAAACCAGTTTCAGTATCCCGGTTGACCCATTTATTCAAGAGTGATTCAAATCCTGGTCTTTGATACATCGATGATATTTGATTCTTTAAAGATGGTAATGGATATAACATCTTTGGTCGTCAGATATATCCATTATTTACAGGAACCTTCATCAGCAATTCTGATCCACAAGATTTACGTTGACTTTGCATCTGATAATTTGGAAATTTAATATGGGTACATTTAAATCCTGAATTCGCATTATCATCTGAATTTGCTGGAATTATTACCGTAATATCATATAACTTGTTACAA